CCCCAAAACCCCAAAACCCCAAAACCCCAAAACCCCAGTTTGGACATTAGGATTGAATCGTCTAATTCTGGTGAGGGGTTAAAATTAATACTACTCTTAAAAGAAATTGTTAAGAATTTCTGAATGGGTTTAGAGAACACCTTCAAATGCCTGAATTGATCTGAGAGAGCTCAGGTCAACCCACAACTCAGGTGGATAATTGTAACTAGTAAGGCAGGGTTAAGAGAGAATTTAATTAGTAATAAGATATATGGGCAGTATTTATCTGAATTTTAAACTTTTCAAACCTTCAGAATGAATTTTAGAGTTCTCGATTGGTTTTCTTTGGCTCTTTCTCAACAATGAAATTTGTGTAGGCCTGGACAAGTGGATGCGTCTAATCTCTAGCTTGATCTTTCTCTCTTGCTTCCGCTTTTCTTGTGCCTCGTGACTCTTTATTCTTTCTTTAAGGTTTAGGATAGAGTGATTATAATTTTCTTCAAAGTCTCGCCAGATATTTAGAGTATCTCTGGTGCTATCAAGGCTGTGCTCCATGATCATCCTTGCTTTTCTGGACTCTCTGAGGGTTTCTTCAGCTAGTTTGGATGTCTCATAGTGATCTCTGATACCTTAATCATAAAACACAAAACACATGTGTAACAGATCTCTTCCATCTTGTCTCCCGGTTGAGGCTGAACTCGTCAGAATATTCACAGAATGAGCTATGTTAAAAATTTATTGGGCTGGTTTACTACAAAAAAAATTGAAAACTTTAGTTTTTTCGTAGAAAAATAGCTTAAATGCTTCTTGAGGGCGTTGCTTAGGATGAAAGTTATCCTCATGATTAGGTTATTATATTACCTCTTGGGAAAAGTGAGTGAAGTCCAAAACAAGAATAGGTATGATAAAAGTGGCATTCATGAATTCCTATTTGAATCAAAGAAGTACTGGTTTAAAGAACGCTTAGTCAATTTCAAACTAGCTTAAGAGTACGCCTTAAGCATGAATATCTGGAATGACTGAAGTTTAGGAATTAGCTCATGTAGGGATATTTAAAAACAATCTGTCTTCCTTATTATAAAAGTTTTAGCTCTCACGGCTCACTCGCTTACCTTGTAGTAGTAGTATTTGGCATGGATGTATTTATTATTTATAAGAACATTAATTTCTACTTTAATACAATTGAAGGGGTTTTGGGGTTTTGGGGTTTTGGGGTTTTGGGG